CACAGTGGCATGATAAAAGCTTAGAAGGTTATTATCAACGTTTAAATAGAAACTCAAAGCCCCTAATTCTGCCTTTTGGTGGTCTTTATTTCCCTTTATTTTTAGTCATCTTTTGAGTGACCCTTGAAAAATTAGCTTCTTCCTAACTGCCACTTTCTTTCCAGGCCACAAGCCAGACGATTATTACTCCATCCTCCCCATTCATTTTCCAGGTCTCATGAATTTTCAACTTTTTTTTAAAAGAAAAAACAAAATTTGCAATTAAAGTCATCATCATATTGATCAACAACTACCTAATTAAAGAACGATGGTTTGCAGTAAATCATATTAGTGTTAACTTTCATTCGCCATCCACCAAAACAAGTAGCTTAAACATAAGATGATGCATCTAGTCATGATAGTGTATACACTGTCTGTCAGTCAGTGTATATAAGATTTATTCTATAATAAAACATGCCTCCCAATTTTACGCACAGGAACCAAAATTGGTTTTTTTTTTTTTTTGGTCAATATGGACAAGAACCATTGAGTTGCAGGAGAAGGGGCAATTGGATATGAAAGTGTTTCTAACCAATAGATTCTTGAAAAGGCATTGCAAGTTGCAAAATTGGTATACCTATAATTCCATTCAACACTTAATCTTAATAAATTCAGATATAAATATGTTCAATTGCGTTTGAGAACTAAAAAAATTTGAATTAATTAAGTTACACTGAATTTTTTAAGTAAAATTTGCTCTAAAAAATAAATAATAAACTATGAACTTTGCAGCAAAAGTTCTAGTACTAGAATGGTTTTACATTTGATGATGTTAAAATGCAAAACCAACAACAATATGTTAGTGCTTTTCAGGACATCATCACAGCCCTAGTAACCTTCATTTCAAATCTCTGCCCCTCTTTTCTAAACTCCCCCCAAACCCTTTATGGCTATTACTTCCCCTACCCTTTTTCCTTATTTCAATTCAACAGTTAGTCAATGAATTCAAACAACAAAAAGCTCCAAATCCCACTTGCCTCCCTCACTTTTCACTTCTTCCCATGTTGTTATTAATCAATCAACTTTTCAACAGATCCCATGCCCAAACAGACACAGTTTCACACTCACCAATCATCAAATGATCTTCCATCAGTCCCACAATTCCTGGCGCCAAAAATTGACCACTCTCTCTATTAATCTTCTAAATAGTTTTTTTTCTTTTTTTTTTTTTTAAAAAAAAATCTACTACAAAACTACAGCAACCTGTCAGATAAACTGGGAAGCCTCCTAAAGAAATTCAAGCTGACTGGTGGCATTGGGTCCCTGAACATGGGATGCCGCAGAAAATAGAATCCAAGGGCCACTGCCACCATTTTTGGTGGCACCATGTAGAGCACCGCTGCAATTGTAAGGCACACTCCTATGAAAATTTTGGTGGCCCTGGGGTCCCTCCAACTCACCAATGCTTGGACCCTTTCACCCTGAGTTGCAAAATCTCCCAAAACTGTTTGGACCCTTGCTGCCAGCAGCCTCAACCGGTCATACCTCATTCTAATAATTTCGGCCGTCTTGAACTCGGAATCGTATCAAATTCCTCGTCCAACTCATCCGGGTCGACCGACTCGGCCTGGGAAAGCCGGATATCCATGCCCGCCGGTATTTTCGGCCTAAACCGATAATACCATACACCGATAAGAAACACGTATAAGAACCCGGTCGGCACGATTAAATCCGGGTACCACACTAGCACTAAGTACAATATGTGGACTAGAATCGTCGTAACCGGGTTTTTCCATCTTTTGATATCATCCAACCATTTAGCCAGCCCAACCGCCCAAGCCAGTACGGCCACTATCCGAAACCAATTAGCCTTACTTTTCCTTATGCTCCATGTATGCGAGTCCGCATCCAACATATACCGAACCACCTCTGGCCCGAGCGGCGGCTCCGATCGCCCCAACCAATCCGCCACCAATTTAGTGGCCGCCGCTCGTAATGCCTCCTGCTGAGCTATCGCCAGTGGCCTGAGATAGTGCATTCTCGGCAGCAAAGGTTGCCCATACGCCGCGCAAGTATCCGGAAACATTGACGGACAGGCAAATCGAACCGCCACCTCGATTTCACCCATTTTCTTTAACCGGTTTCTTAACAAAACCATTAACGGGTACGAATTTGTGTACACCTTATTACCCTCCAACGTGGATATCCGAATCCGAACTTTCCCAATATGATAATCCGGCTTCTCCTCTCCGGCGTCAGCAAACATCCGCCAGTTGTCAAATACTCCGATGGTTAGAACGGTGCACGGATCATACACCTGCCAGGTGTACTGTTCATTCCACCGTGGATCAAAATTGTCCGTAACGGTCCGGGTTCGGACCCATTTCTTCCCATACTTGGCAACACAATAAGCATCTGTGGACCCCTTCCCTCCGCCCTTGGATTTCATCGGCAGCAATCCGCGAGCGCCCAAAATCCCGAGCTCCAGAATCCCAATGGCCGGCTTCCACAGCTGCTTCGCCGTAGGCCTGAAGTCGCTGCACACGTGCGCCGCCTCATCTAGCACGTGATACCCTCCCTCCAAGCACATTCTCAATTGTACCCTCCCACGGTAGGCTCCATTTGGTCCGCCTCTAACGCCAACCACTTCGCCGCCACGTGCCGCTCATCGAACCGCTGCTCAACCGAGACTAGAGGAATCCTCACGTACCCGAGAATTTCCGGATCTCTACCCGTCCGGTCTTCTACCAATATTATCAGGTTGTCTTCCAGTGGCTCTCCGGCTACAAAGATCAAGTCCTCGTTCCAGTGAAACGCGGGAGCATGGTGGCTCATGGACCCTCTCCGCGTCCGAACCGACTGAAGCCCGAGTTGTGCTTTGATCCGAATTTCCGGGACGGTTAGCGGGGCAAATTCGGAGTAATGTGGAGGTCTTGAGCTTGAATCACTGTAATTCTCAAGTACCATAGCTTAGGAGATTGGTATACTTTTGAGCGCGTATGAGCCACGTGGTTTGGAGGGGCGTCGGAGCTCCAAGCTTCCGGGAAAGCATCGTCGGCCTGAGTTCCTATCCAAACCGATAGCTGAATGTCGCCGGGACACTGTCCCGGCCATCACCTCCTCCGCCGGGGCCGCTGCCATCAAGGTGGTACCACTGGGGAGCGAGCGGGCTATCCGGTGGGTCACGCACAGGCACGTCGGAAAGGTCGAAGCAAACGCCACCGAGGAACCTTTCCGACGAGGATCCCAGACCGAGATTTGGAGGGTTGAACGGGAATGCTCCGCTCTATTGTGGCATAGAGCAAACACTTGGTTCCATTCCGGGTTGGATGGAGGCTCTCCGGGTCGGGTTGACCCGGGTCTAGACTTGACGGAGTGACTGGAGGTCTGGATATTTAAATACGGGCTCTCAGTCGGAGCCAGATTGCGGGCCTTCACGATCCGAATGAACAAATACTGCATCGGCTCCACAAGATCGTATGCTGGAATCCTTTCCGATGCATCGCCGGTCCCGGGAATGACTCTCGGCGAGTAATCTCCGTTCGCTGGTCGCCTCACGACCTTAACTCTCTCGCTACATCTCCCGACTGCCGCGGCCTGCATCCTCCTCACCTCCGGCGGGCACTCCATCACCGGCGGAACGTGCACCTCCACATACCTAACATGCTCCGGCGGAGCCGCATTGGCCGGCGGTGGCTGTGGAGGAGACTCCTCAATCGTAACAACCGGCGGGGACTGATCTTTCACCTCCATAGCAATCTCCGTCGGTAGCGGAACCTCCAAAATCCTCATCGGGGGCAATTCCTCGATCACAGCGACACCCGGCGGTTTCTTGTCTTCCTCCGCCGTCTGCGCCGGGGCCGGCGGTGGGGGTTCCTCCTGAGGTGGTGGCTCAGGCGGGGCCTCTAGCTCATCATAGTAATAAATCTTCAGCCCCAACTCACCTCTAATCCAACTGAACACACTTTTTTTCTCAAGTGCAAAATGAATTATCCCTTCTTCACCTCTCTTAGAAAACTGACTGCCGTAAATTTTAACTCGGCGCGAGGAAATGGTTTTTTCTTGCATTCCCGCTGCTGAGCTTCTTGTCGTTGTAAACCTCAATCTCGAGCTCTTCGTATTCCATGGTGGAAGGATCAGAGACGACGAACTCGAGGGTCTCGTTCCAAGAAGGGTTGAGGTTCTTCTGGACAGTGGAAGTTCTTTTCTTTTGGCCGTCAAAATCCACGACGACATATGGGCTTGAACTGCCCTGGCCATCTTTCGGGAGGAGGTCGCGGGCCTCCACAACTTCCACGATAAGTTTCCGGATAACTTGTGGGGGTCTTGGTGGCTGTTCTGGTTGCGGAGGCTGGTGCTGGTCCGGTTGGGCCGTGGAGTTTGTCATGGTGTCATCCTTGTGCTAGGTGGTGGGTGGAAGTGGAGGAGATGTTGGAGGTGTTTAGTTTTTGGACTGAGGGTTTTTGCATTCAGTGGTGAGTGTCACTGTGCATGGTTTTTGTTTTGCTTTCTACGTGAGTTTTTCCACTAATTTCTGGGTTTTTTTTTTTAATGGGGGTGCTTTCTGTTATGGCATTGGGGAATGTTTTTAGGGGGTGGGGAACTGTGACAGTGGTGGGATGGGGATGTTTTTGGGGTCTGGTTGCTGAATGCTAATGCTTTCTTTTGATGATCTGTGTGGGTATGTGTGTATGAGAGAGACTGATTCCATGCTCTCTGCTGAAGGTTTCTATACTTTTTGGCTAACACACTACTTTTTGGGTTCTAAAATAAGTGGACTTCTCTATGGTGGCAACTTTTCATTTACTGGTTTTCCTTTTTCTTATATGAGTTGTAGATGAATAATTTGGTGTATAAATAAACTACGATAAATGTGATTTCATGAAACTAGTGATTAGGAAAGAGGAGGGATGGCATTGCAGTTTGCAAGACTGCTATTTTTGTGCTGTGAATGTTTGTAGGAAGGCAGAGTTGGATTTTGTCTGAAGTTATTCTCCAACAGTCACAAAATCTAACATTTAAAAGTATCATTACTATTTAGATCTGTTGCACAGAACCTACCGGTTAGGGGCTTGGATTATCTTATGGGTATATGATATCCTATGTCCACTTTTCTTGACACCTGAAAAAAGCTCCTAACTAAAAATATTCTGATGACAAAGTTTTGAAGAGGGCCTAATTTTTAACATGGAAACTGATTTGTATTGAAGATCCTGGAGCTGGATTTGAAGAATGTATGTAGTTTCTTATTTTTTTAAAGAAGTAATTGAGATGAAAATTTATATTCTACAAAACAGTGGGAAAAAAATAAAAAGGAGCCGAAGTTTGAATAGAAAGATTCGAAGGCAGATGAAGTTCCTAATTCGTATTAGGTTGCTAATTCTGATCATTTTTCTCTGCAGTTCAAGAATTCTGATCATTATCCTGCGGCCAGAGCAGAGGAATATATTCTCCATCTGGTAGCTTATTTCTTACTGTATCTCTGATATGGCCTTGTAGATAGCTCATGTCATAGTGGTAATGTGTAAAGCTAGACTTGAAACGGACTTCTTGTAATATAAATGAGATTTTGTGTAGAGCAACAAGATGCTTCTGTAAGGCGCCTGATTCTAGCACCCCCTCTATTCTACTCTGCCAACAGCTTCTGTCTTCCTTTTTGTCAAAAGCTCCAAACACATTTTGAGAAAAGTTGAGGATAAAAGCATCTCCTTTATTGCTTCAGTAGGGCCCTTGAAAGTCTTTGTTCTGTACTAGTACTCTTTGTCAACATAATAGCTGTCAAGATTAGATTGTGTTTGGCCCAGGTATAATCGGGATTTCCCAAAAACCTGCTGACTTATGGTGTCATACAGGAGGTGGAAGGCTAAAACAGTTAATCATTTCTTCGGAATTTTGCAGTGTAAATGGACCAAAAGTCCTGAACTTCGTTGTCTTTGAGGGCACTTGGATGCGCTTTCCCAATCTAGTCAAGGTTTTGCACCCTGTAGATTAATTGGTTGCAGTAGGACGAAAAGAGGTACATCTGTCCCGAAAGAAAATGTTTCTTCCTATGCTATGGCTCCTAATACTCTTGGCTGACTTTGCTGTCTGATTAATATCTTGAGTGGATGGAAAGGGTATACATTGATGTTTAGGTGTCTCTAATCTAAGTCCAAATGCTGCAACCAATGAAGGTTTGCTGGTATAATAATAATACTTCCTGAATGCTTGTGCCTCCTGTAACTGTTCAATATCATTGATAGATAGAGACATGATCCTTTGTTTCTTGTCTATGTTTCTTATAGAAAATGTTTTTTCTGCAGTTTTAAACGTGCACTTTTGGCTCGAATGTCAATGAAGCTTCTTTCTCTTTTAGCTGGTAGCTTGAGAGGGATGTTTATGCATTGCTTCCTCGCCTTTTCTGAATTGGTGTGACTAGTTATGGAATCTGATCCTTTTAGGATAAAGACATCTTTGAATTGATGCTTATGTGATGGATATTCCCCTCCCATGGATGAATGGAAAATCAGGTCAGCAGCAGCAGCCCACCGATAATCCTTGTACCATCCAATCAGCTATCAGACCACTGCAATATTATTGCTTGTTTTTGTTTTTCCTCTTTTCAAAAGGAATCTGGTTCCATCTTAATTCCCTATTTCTGGCAAACCTGACTCTTTTCCCCACCTTCCCTTCCTTCTCCTTCAATTCCCCTCCCTAATCCCCTAACTCTTTTCAACTAGTACTAAACTCAAGATGCAAACCGAATTAATTATATTTAAGATACTGCTAAATATAATCAGAGATATAGGATTCAAACTATAGATGTACACTTTATTTTGGAATTTATAAACTTTTATAGTAACAATTTTTAGATGGGGGAAGGTATGAAGAAGAACAAGGGGAACGAGAATGGCTAGAATCAAATCCATCATTATGTGATCAAGCGCCAAGGCCCTTAATCAATAGGAACTTGTTCGAAGTCATGTCTTAATTTTCAGGATTTGTCTGGAATTTTTGACAGACGAAAACCCCCAAGGAGAATGCTAAGACTGCTGTGACAACTATCCCTGTGTTCTTCTTCAACTGCAGTCTTAGTGTTTCCAACAGGCTGCTCTCATTCCACACACTTTCTTTCCTTGCATCATGAAATTCTTCTTCTGGCTCTCCATCACAATCTTCTTCTTTTTTCGGATCTTCGCTCGATCCCTTCTCAGTCCTCTGGTGATTGTCGATTTTGTCTTGATCATCATCAATCACTTGATGATCTCTGTCTAAATCATTCTTCTGTTGGCTCTCTTCCTGTATATGATCAGTTTGTGGTACTGTGACTTTCTCGCGGTTACTTTCGTTTTCTGCTGTAGCTGTCTTGGGAATGATCATGTAAAGGATTTCATCTTCAAACTTAGCAGTGGCCTCCTGGATGTCTGAATTGTCTGGAACTCGATAAGATTGCTGAAACCGGATGTGTTTTATCCCATTCACTTGCCTTTCTCCACTTACCAATAAATGCCCGTAGTTATCAACTCGAAGCTTCACCTCATCCATTTTGAACCCTTCAATAAGATAGTGAAAACAACATGTTCAGATTACACGTATTCCTTCAAACAACTTAGATCATCACCTTCAAGCAAAGAAACAAGCATGCACAAACAGAAAAGGGGCTAAATCCAAACGCTTCCATCTTGAATGGACAGTCGAAACCTTATTCATAGTTCCATGCGTTAAAGGCTTGCATATAAAAGCAATAATGTATTTGTGTGCATGCAGGGCATGGGTTTATTTTGTATGGAGGGGCGTGGATTTAACTCATCGCGAAGAAGTACAAGAAAATGAGATGAATTCTTGGCATATACCGGGAAGATCAATGATTAGACAGTGGCGATCTTTGTCCTCTGTCCAACCGGAGGAAGGCACAATCTCTTCAAAGATCACATCATGTGGGCTTCTCCTGTCAGCAGCAGCTCCTCTGCCGCCTGCTCCTAACATATTTGCCATGTTCTTCTGTATCAAAATGCGCACTGAAAACACCCCGAAAAAATGGTTGAATGTCAAGAAACTCTCAGGGGGGGTTCTGTGGAGGGATCGATCGAGCAATGCTGCTGCTATTTAAGCTGTAGTTTCAGCATGTCAATCAAAAGCTAATAGCCTTTCTTGCAAGATTTCTTATTCCAAACTTTTCCTTTTGGACCGTGACAAAAATGGCAATGTTAGATTGTTCATAAAACTACAGGAAGAGGCTATTCTTTGCTTTGCTTAGGACTCAAATAGCCTGAGTCTCTGGTCTTACGTATCTTGAAAAAGGGTGTCTTAGATAGTTTGAATAGGATGGAATGGAAAACTATATATATTGTATACCTTCAGACAACTAATGGTAAACTTTCACATACCACTTGTACACCTTTTTCAATCCAACATGTAAGCTGCAGTATTCAGCTGAGTCCATACATGCTTCAAATGGTGCACTCTGGAGTCCTCTACAATCATTTTTGGGATTCCCATGAAATCACAGTACAGTGTCTGTAATATTGCAAAAGTGTTTGTAAATTCATTATTTAGATTGTCATAACGTTGTTTTGTAAAAGAAAATGAAAAACATGGTAAAAAAAAAAAGAAAAAAGAGTAAGCTATTCAAATGAGTAAATTCATGTGACCCTATTCTCCACTTATCCCTTGTGTTTCTACAGCAATACTTTTGTCCAGTCCACGCTAATTTGAACCAAAAAAAAAAAAATTAGAGGCCTTTTGGTAACATTTATGTTTTTGTTGGTAGATTTTGACAAACAATAACAAAAAAAAAAAAAGAACAGTTTTGTTAAATTTCTTCATATTTTAGAAAAAAGAAGAACGTTTTATGAAAATGAGCTTTATTTTAAAAACACCCAAAATATTTTTTCAATTTTTTTTTTAAAAAAAACCTAAACTAGAAATTAATTTATTTTATCTTTACTCGACTTCCATTTATTATTCACCTGCCACCGAGTTTGATCCAGCCCGACCCAATCTATATGCTACGGTTAATGCCCAATAATTGGGGATTAGTTAGTTGGGTTTCAACAGGTTTAGATCCATTACATCCGTTAAACAAACTATGCTAAAGAGAATTATCTTACTATTAAATAAACCATGTTAAAGAGAATTACTGGTTAATACAGGTACTAATAGGCTTAATTAGATAAAGAAAGGGGTAATTTCACTTTTTTTTGTTTTTTTTTTTTTTTTAGGGGTGTCCCGCAGCAGGGAGTGAATCCCGCAGACTATTCCCCACCCTCCACAACTTGCTGGCAGCAAGGTTTGAATCAGGGACTTAACGCTCCATTTTCAGCAATCTCAACCGTCAGACCAAGCCCGGAGGGCAGGGATAATTTCACTTTATCTCTATCGTCAGAGATAGTTCCACCTAAACTCATATTATATCTCTCTTCAATTATCTATATGCTTATTTTCACATTCAAATAGCTACCATCTGTATAAATCGTTTGATTATTTCACTACTTTTCTATCAATAGATCAATATACGAAAAAAAAAAGAAATGCATTTGAGAATACTTTGACATTTAAATTTGCACCAAATATTTAAATTGTGAAAATAGGTCAAAATGATAAAAAGATCTTTAATGATCAATCAAAAGAAAAAAAACTTGGCCATTTTTTTTATCACAAATTTTGCATATAATTGGAATCCATTTTCCACAAAAAAAAAAAAAAAACTTCTGTGCATAACGAGAAATAAGCGATGATATATGTTGTAAATGATGTTGATTTTGAAAAGTAGTTTAAATATAATGGAGAGAATTGAGAAGATCGAGCCTAATCCATAGACGCTCTACATTAATCAAATCCAATCTTCTAACACATTTTTTTTTCTTTCTATATTTATTGATATAAATAAAGGTTATCTGTAAAACAAATCATCTTTCTGGTCAAATTAATTAGAAACATTCTTTACAAGTCATTTTTTTGACTCTTATTAATGTCCATATATAGAAAGCAAAGCAAATAGACTAAAGATTGACCATTGCCGGAAAAGCACTGGCTCCCCTTTCTTCCCTCTCAACTTCTCATTGTCAAATATTCCAATGTATTAAAGCACAATCCTAAAAGCTTCAAAAGAGAGAACAAAACAAAATTAATGCAATTGCATTACAGCCAAGGTGACTGGCTTACTTCCATTCATGCATATCCCCAAACCCGATTGAGGTCTCAGTATTCTATTCCCTAAAAGTTGAACATATTATGTTCAAACCCTTTATTGCTTTCTTGTTACAAAACTAATTTGGTTAAGAAAACCATTTGCAAAAAAAAACCCAAAAAAAAAAAGTGACACAAAAATGGAGTTCAAGAAAAGTAGCTTAATTTTAGCATTTGCTTTGATTGCTCTAGTTTATACCATTGAGGCACACATTGCCGAGTTTGATGAGGTCTGGCAGAAGCGCGCAGAAGAAGCAAAGAAGGCTGCTCGCCAAGCTTACCATCCTAACCCCGAAAATGTCACTTCTCATTTTAATGAGGAAGTCCACAGGTGGATTTTCCCTAAATTCTCTTCATTCTCTTCTTGGTGGAAATTTCTTGAAAACACAATATAAAATCATGCATTGATTCATGCAGGTCCATTGATGGCCACAACAGCAGAAGAAGGGACTTGCACAAGTATAATGGTCCATGCACAGCCACAAACCCTATTGATCAATGTTGGAGATGCCAGAAAAATTGGCGTAAAAATCGTATGAAGCTAGCTGATTGTGCTCTTGGCTTCGGCCGCCATGCAACTGGAGGCAAAGGTGGCAGGATTTATAAGGTCACTGATCCTTCTGATAATGACCTAGTCAATCCCAAGCCCGGAACTTTGAGACATGCCCTTATCCAGCCTGAGCCCCTTTGGGTCATATTCACCAAGAATATGGTGATCAGGCTTAGCCAAGAGCTTATCATGACCAGCAACAAGACGATCGATGGCCGCGGCGTACAAGTCCATATTGCATACGGTGCTGGATTCACCCTGCAATTCGTGCATAACATTATCATCCACAATCTTCACATTCATGACATTAAGTCTGGCAATGGTGGCATGATTAGAGACTCCGTCAATCATTATGGCATTCGTTCAAGAAGTGATGGAGATGGCATTTCAATCTACGGTTCCACCAACATTTGGATTGATCACATCTCAATGTCTAATTGCAATGATGGACTCATTGATGCTGTTCAGGCTTCCACAGCTATAACCATCTCCAATGGCCATTTCACTCATCACAATGAGGTAATTATCTATCTATCTATCTATATGTCTACAGCATTAGACTCCTACTTTTCATGTACGAGGATGGAAACATCATGCTACTCATTGATTATATTTATAGACCCTCTTATTAACAAAGTTAATGTCCATGTCCACAGGCAATGCTCTTTGGTGCAAGTGATAGCTACTCAGATGATTCCATAATGCAGATAACTCTTGCATTCAACCACTTTGGTCAAGGAATAGAACAAAGAATGCCAAGGGCTAGATGGGGTTTCGTGCATGTAGTGAACAATGATTACACACATTGGCTAATGTATGCCATTGGAGGAAGTCAACACCCCACCATACTTAGCCAAGGCAATCGCTTCATTGCTCCTGAAAATCCATATGCTAAAGAGGTAATTAATGATACTGATTAGCAAT